TAATAGGGAAAAAAGGTGCCCCGTGCACCATTGGGTGTCGGAGATAGTTTGTAGTATTAAGGTGGAGAGTAAGGGCGGGAGGGGTCATATGAAAATTTAAATAATTTTTACAGTCAAGAAAAAATTGTATAAAGTGAAGAAATTATTGATATAGCAAGACAACGCCATTTCCCTCCCTTCCGGCTTCCAATGTGTTCAATTCAATCTCTCTGATGATGAATCTCTGCAAATCAATTAACACACGGAGCCGAATTGATCTTTTAATCTCGATATTGGAAGAAGGGCCTATCCCCACAAAACCTCAACCTGTCTCCAAGAGACTTAAGATTTCTACCATCCATAGGCCGATCCAAGGGCGGATCATATAATCTTGCCCTTATTGGGCTGCTTCTATGGCTCATTTGGTGCAAGAAATGTCAGATTACCATGTGAATGTTACATTGTTGGGTATGTTAAGTTGATGAGAATGTATCCAATTTCTCCCATTTGTGTGTGGTTAAGATCAAGGGAATATGATATTAATTTAGTTGGTTGAAAGATATCTAATATTCTAAATTTGGTGAATTACTTCAATGCCCTTTAAATATTTTCTCTTAACACAATAAATCTATTACAACCTACATCTAAGTAATTGAAGTTAGAAAAAATGAAATATCTTAATAAAAAATAAAATCCAATCTAATAGAATTATTTTTAAGTAAAGTATATACTAAATAAAATCTAAACTAATTGAATATAATTAAATACTACCTCTGTCCCCCTAAGTTTGGAACAAAAGAAGGTGTCACAGTCATTAATAAAAGTGTGTTTATGTGGTTGATATTGAAATGATAAAGTAAGAATAAATTAAGAATGATTTAGAACCACACAAACTTTACCAAATAAGGTATGAGACAATCTTAGTGAGACGGACCGAAATGGTAAAATGGGACAATTATCGCGGGACAGAGAGAGTAAATAAACTTCATATGTACCACTTAAAATTAACTGATCTATGTCAACAAGCACAAGTTATAAAATTCCGAACATTTTCCCTATTCTCAAAAGTTGTTTTGATTTTCCATTTGAAAAGTTCAGCTTGAGCACTACATTCAACAATTTTTGGTTCCTAAAGACCTAACTATTCTATAATTTTTTGTTGTTCAAAGTCTCAAACTTCAGTTTTATTTCTTTTTAGTAGGATTGGAGTCCCTATCTTCATTTCAGGACACACATGTCTTTATTAAACATAAAGTTGTGATGCCTTTATATCAAGCTTGTTTTATATGTACAGAAGAATTGTAGCTTGAGTAAGGGGCTGTTTACTTTTTTTCTCATTAAGTTCTGTGTGGATTAAGATGTCTGTCTGTATTAAGACATCTGTCTAGAATAAGTGACATTGATATAACAAGTTGTTTACTATGTGTGCTGAATGTATGCCCTGAATTATATTAAATTACCAAGTTATCCTTATGTTTGTATTCCTGTAACAAATGCTAGATCTGAAGTACTCTGTATATATTATCTCTTTCCTTTTATTATTCTGAACGAGGCCATAAAAAGTTTATGCTCTGCCAAATGCTATTAAAACCAGCAGAATTAACCTAATATGCAATAGTCTTCTTCTTCGTATACATATTTCTCCTAATTTTATAGTTTTGGGTAAAGTTGGTTAAAGTATTTTTGTGAAGCATCTCCTAATCTTAAATTTATCCTAAATTTAAAAAGAAAGTTTTACTCCCTGGGTTCCGACCCCTAATTGCATAGCTGACACTATTTCTCCTCCCCCCCTCCCACAAGCAAGCTTCCAACGAAAATAATTGCAGGGGCAAGCTCTCTCCATTTCCCAGATTTTGTCGCAGGGGATGTAGCTTTGGTCGTTAGCGATGGGATGGATTTAGACAAGTGATATCGGCGATGAGAGGTGAAGGCGGCGACTAATTTCGGTGCTAAAGACAAGTGGAGAATGAAAGTATCGGTTGTGAATGCAGAAGCCAACAATGGAGAAGCGAGGGTTAAAAACGAGACTCTATTAAATTGAGGTGTCTGAGCAGGAAGGACAATCAAATGCTAGCTGAACGAATAAGTGACAAAGTATCTGAGCGAATAAGACACAGTTTGCATTAAGTTCTAAGTAAACAAGACAATATGACTGAACTAATAAGTTATCATTTCAATTAAGTCGGTTAAGTCGTAAGTAAACAGGCCCTAAGCAAGTTCTCCAAGTTTGTTTTGGTTTCCTTGCATTAAACATCAAGCATTTTAATTTATAACATGCTTTGATATTATATCAATGACTTAATGACAGATCTAGTGATGTGACAAGATTGCATTTTCTAATATTCCGTGAGTTTTATCTCAGTCTCTTGTTTCAATGCAAATTGACCGATGGTAATTGATTGTTAACAATTGCTTGCAGAATTGGAGGACATCCTAGCACAAATTATTAATCAATTATGTATGTTGTGCTTGCATTTCTCCTCAAAGAATGCAGAAATAAAATGAATATATATACTTTAATTACATGTTCACAAATATCTCTTTTAGGTCCTAATAACCTGGAGAACTTTAAAAAGTTGGCAAAACACTTCCAAAAACAACCTATCTCGGGTATTGGCGCAACTATTACTGAAGAAGACGATGGTGATGTGCCTGAGCTGGTGGATGGTGAAACTTTCGATGAAGCTGTTGCAGTTGAGGATCATAAGTAAAACTTGGCTACTTTTTGTGTGAATCAAGTACTTCTTTTTTATCATTCTCTATGTTTCACCGTTGTTTATTCAAGCTAAGCAATCATTGAACTCTACAAGTTTTGAATTCACTTTACCATGTGTCCAATAATTGTTATGTGTAATTGTAGGGTGCGTCAATAGTTTATACTAAGAAATGCATTTTAAATAACCACAATTACTGAAGTGGTGATCGTTTCTTTTAAGTCGACTTAGGAAAGTTAATAATGAAGTTGGTAATTAAGTTAATCAGAACATGGTCTAAATGTCTAATGTGAAGTTCTCATAGAGGTTTTGAGGGAAAAAATAAAGAAGCTAAATTAAGGAATGAAACGATGCTACGACAAAAATCACAAAAGAAATGACAGGATGTGAATACATCGATGAGAGACGAAAGCACTTTGCACTTTGCAGACTATGTCCTTTGATATTCAATTTTCGTGTATGAAATAATTACATATTTATGATTAAAATAAAGATTATTTACAAAAATTTGACTAGTGATTAGAGTGATAATGAAATTATAGGAATTTATGTTCAACTTTTAAACTTAAATTACCATTATACTACATTGTAGTAATTATTAGTCACATTTGTGTAAATAAATTTTATTTTAATAATATTTTTTACAACAACCCAATACACTATGCTACTCTCATATTTTGTCCATTATTCAATGACACATATATTTCCGATCCACATCACATGAATTTTTTTTTTAACTATTAATATTGCGAGTATGTATAATATACCACTACTAACACTAATGGGAAAACATGCACCACATTGATCATTATTCATCGTCAATTGAAATAAAGCGAAGTCTTTAGATATTTTTCTAGCCTTGCACACTTTGCTTTTCACATGTTCCAGTTATTCTAAATAACATTGAAATTCAATTAGATATTTTTTGAATTCAAATGAATACCCACAATACAATGTTTTTGGTAAACACCGGATAATTAAAGAAGATGATAGTTATAAATAACACTAAGATTTAATATTAATAAAATATGGTATATATAAATTAATAATTTGTGGCTAAAACAATTTATAAGATTTTTGTAAACCTTCAACGCTTATTGATGTGAGTGAATTTTACACATAGGTTAAATCTTAGATTAGTTCATGAGATTAAAAACATACAATGGGAGGGAGTAGTAATTTAAAATAGGAAAAATTGAAAATAATAATCCCAACTATTGCCGATCCGCTGAAAATAATCTCAACTATTGATTATTTTTGTATAATCCCAACTATATAGACTATCCACCAATAATGGTCCATGACCATATATTACCTCTATAAAAAGTGAATTTTAAATAGAAATTAAGTGTAAAAATTAAAAGTTGAGATTATTGATAGGGATTACTTGTTATATCTCATCTCATCCACTTTAGAAACTACAAGAATTTATTCATAGGGACCATTATTGGCGGAAGGTCCCTAAAGTTGGGATTATTCTGTAATAATCAATAGTTGGGATTATTATGAGCGGACCGCCAATAGTTGGGATTATTAATATCAATTTTTCCTTTAAAATATACTACATCACCACGGAAGTATTAGTTTCAATATTTTTCGCTAACTTTAACATTTAGAATTTGTTTGGTTTCGGGATTTGGAGGTAGAGGGAGGAAAGTAGTGATTTTTGTATTTTACTAATTTATCTAAAGTTGTTAGTTTCATACTGCAAATAACTACGTAGTATATACTACGTAATTAGTTAGGATGTTTTCTTTGGACTAAAGTTTACTGGTCTGGTTTGGTTTGATCTAGTCCGGTCTGGTATGATAAATGTTTGAACTCTGTGTATTTTATAATTGTCCAAGTCTGGTCTGATCTGTATAAATCTGGTCTGATCTGTTTAAGCCTGGTCTGGTCTGATCTGAGAGTCTGAGACTGAAAACAGTCCAAAAGAAAACATCCTTAGACCGTGTATTTTTATAAATATTTAGATATTTGAGATTATATAATTTATTAAAATTTAATTTTGTGGTTGTGAATAGTAAGAATGTTTTTACTCGAGCTGAAATTTTCTATTCTAGTCAGATCTGATCTAATATGATATGGTAATGTCTAATCTTTGTGTATTTTATAAATATTTAAGTCTGATCTGGAAGTCTGGAACTAAAAACACCATAAATTGATTGCCGTGAGTATAATTACTCTTTTTTTTAATTAATATTAATATAGACTAACAAAAGCAAAAAAAAAAAAAATTATATTAACATAGATATAAGTTAAGTCCAGCCCACCTCCCGCCCATCCCAAAATTAATACTCAGCCCACAATCCAAGCCTGGTGCCAAACTATTCCACTCGAGCAAATCTGCAGTGTGCGAAGCGGAAGTGCGGAACTGCGAAGACGAAGAGGAAGTAGCAGCGCTGCGACGAAGACAGTCACCAGTCGACCTGCAACCACAAGCCGCGCTGTCGCCCTCCGTCCTCGCGTACAGGGCCCTGCTTCGGCGTGTTCCTTCTCCGGTTGTCCGAGTCCGACCCTGCCCTGAGTGCTCTCTGCGGCTCTGCCTCCGGTTCCAGGCTTCCATGTATACTCTAATACTATTTTAGACTTTTTTTTTCTCTTGATTAAACATTGTATTATTTGTTAAACATTGTATTATTTTGTGAAACATTGTTAATCTATTTGATTAACACAGAGGGCCCGGAGTATTTGTGTGATTTGTGTCATTGTGTTATGTTTGTTAAACATTGTATGATTATGTGACTTTGTGTTATTGTGTTTTTTGTAAGTCTATTTGATTATTAATTGGATTTTTCAAACATAATAAAATAATATTTATCCATTATAAATTTTTAATAATTAAAGATAGAATTAAAGATTAGAGAATGATCTATTTATTATACAATTGGAGATTAGAGAATGATTTATTTATTGTGTACGAAAGAATTAAAAATTTCAATTGAATTTTGAAATCGGGAATACTTATTAGTTTTATGTACAATGATCTTTTTTTCTTATCAGTTTTATAATTTTATAGAGGTATTTTAATTCATACCAAGTATCTTAATTCATACCAATCAAGCATGTAAAGATGGTACTTCGTAACAAAATGAGAAATCATTTTCTTAAAGATTCATTGATGATCTACATTAAATGAGATTTTCTCAACAATATAGATGTAGATTCTATTATTGATGAATTTTATACTATTATTATGTATGGTTCTTCAAATTTTATTTCTCAGCCCACTCCATTGTAACTTTCTGGATCCGCCCCTGCATTCGCCCCTGCCCTTCTCAGTTCTCACCTCCTGCCTCCTGGTACTGCTAATTTGCTATATGTGAGCTTATATTTACCTTTGTGAGCTTATATTTACCTTTTATTACTCTAGGGAGGCAGAGGGAGTATTATAAGCTCACATATTGATTATATTACCAAATACATTATGATAATTTCAAATGTTTGATATATTACCTTATACACTTTAATCATCAACTAAGCATTATCTGTTCTCTCTAACGCAAATCACATTGGTTAGAAGTGCATACATATACATTTGCATTGTGAATGACAATCTCTTTAATGAGAAAAATAGCATAGCTTTAAATATATAAGACTTGTCATATCCACACTTTCTTTAGGATGAAACGTATTTGAATACAAATATCAAAGTCTATATCACTTTAATTGAAGAGTTTGAAGGTTGTGTATATGTGTTTTAAAAATTTGTCATATAATGAAAAAACAGTATTTTTGCTTACTGAAATTTTGTGATTCATATAACCAAGACAATGATTAATAGAAAGTAAATGGACAAAAAGTTTAATCTGTGTCTTTTTATTTTAGGACACATATAAAATGATATTAAGGGTTCAATGCCCAGGTCCAAGAAAATCCTATTAGAATAGGCCCGTTTTTCTTGTTCTGTATAGACCCTAGTTAAGTCGATTGATTGATTTTCTGAAAAGTCGAACACGGCATTTACGAGAGACGACAAACTTCAATCGACACTACAAGTACTCAAGTAGGCGACACCACTCACCCCTGGATGCTGAATTGAGTGTTGCTGACCTCCGATGCCTAAAGAGATTGTTGTATTCCGTATTAACTATTAAAACTGTCAAATAGGCCTTCGTACTTTATGAAAAACAGAAATTAAGCCCTTGTACTTCAAGAACACTTAATTAATCAGGTTTCATATGAGTATATGACTGCATGAGTACGAAGACCTATTGATAGTTTTTCCAATATCGTTTTGTTTAAATTAGCTTAAACTTTTGTTTTTTAATACATAATAAGGTTTGTGTACTGTTAACGCAGACAATGCTGGAACACCGCTACCTAGTGCCTAATTAACCTGTACAGTTTTTGTTTAAATTTTTAGGTTAATCCGCAATTTCTGGAACACCGCTACCTAGTGCCTGATTTTTTTGTTTGCAATTTCTGGACGTAATTTTGAATTTTACGGTATACCACATGAATATACTAGATAATGGTAATCAATATAATTTGGCTATCTTTCCAGTTTAAATCGTGAGAGATATTTTCTTACAATTTACTAAGATTATGAAAACCTGTCCTGTAAAAAAACATAATGTGTACTTTATTCTATTTAGTCAACTTTCGTTATCGTTTTGAATGTGTTCCATAAGTATACAATAAGGTGAGCGTAATGTTTTATTTAAATAAGCCCATGATGGGATCTTGAGTATAAGCGGCAAAAACACAGGACTGGCTAAGTGACACAGGTAAAGGAAGAAACTTGAACTGTGGTGATGGAGTTCTAGGAGAAGATACAAGATAGGTAACCAGTACGGACGGCCGTGGAAAATTTATACATGAGATATTGGGATTTAGATAAGGTGATCATGATGGACAGTGGCAATACTGCAATCCCTCTCTTTATTGGTGCGGTGACGATTGTTTTGATTAGGGTTGTTTTTGTCATTTACCGAAGCAGCAAGCCACTTCAACCCAGACCATCACGGCCCCTGAAGACACTCATTGTGTTGGGTTCAGGTGCTAATTGGATCCTGCCAAATTCTGCAAATGCTTAACAGTTCATTATTCCTTTTTTTCGCTCCTGATATCTGGTATTCATTTTTATGCAGGTGGTCACACGGCAGAAATGATGAACTTATTGTCTGCACTTCAAGAAGACATGTTTAAGCCAAGGTTCTATGTTGCTGCTGCAACTGATAATATGAGTCTCCAAAAGGCCCGAGGTTTTGAAGACTCTTTACTTAACAAGGTAGTTTGAATGAGAATTAATTGCACTATCTTTCTAATATCGTTTCAAGAGATGATAGTTGTGATAGTATGGTATCTATACCTTCACTTACTACAGGAAAGATTCAGCCACAACCCTTCTTTGTGCATTTTGGAATGTGAATTTTTTTCTGTAAGATGATAATTTCTGAAGGAGGCATTTAGTTCAAGTGATCTTAGGTGGGTGATGTTAGGAACCTAATGTCAGGTTGTCTTTTTGGTTCAGACTTGAGTCAACGATGCATAGGACAATGAGATCATTATGGGGGTTTATCTTATTGCCATGGGGTTATTTGGCATTATAAGATGACTCTGGTAATATATATCATTTTTGCCCTTAAATCAGGGTTTTGCACCTTGTAATCTTACGTTCTTTTAATCTCACATTAAAGAGGTAATCTTATGTTCCCGTAATTCTACATTACCTTCCTGAAGATTATAACATTATTTAAGGTAATCTTAGTATCTTACATTTCGTGAACCAAGTGCACCTTGAGTAAGTTTTTTTGTTACTTTAAATTTATGAAATAGAAGAGCATCCCAAAAGAATTCAGTCTTGTTCAAATAATTTATTTTTTTAATCTATTGTTGTAGGAAGGGACTGAGGTGGCTGGAACAGTGCAGTTCATGAAAATATATAGAAGCCGAGAGGTTGGCCAGTCATACATTACATCTGTTGGTACAACATTAATCGCTGTAGCGCATGGATTGTGGTTATTGATCAAAATCAGACCTGAAGTGGTATAATAGATCTGCATATGATGCTTCTGTTGATTTCTGAGTTATAAGACAAATTATTACATAGAAGAACACGTGCTGAATTTCTTTTCTAATGCAGATTCTCTGTAATGGACCTGGAACATGTATCCCACTTTGTGTAATTGCATTTTTCTTTAAGGTATGTTTGCCTTTCTTAGAAAATTGCATCAACAGGTGCAATTTGTTAGGTGCTTAGGTATGATGTGAAATCATTTTATTAAATATAAGGGGGTGTTAAGCAATGGAGTGGTTAGAGGTCAAATAATTTGGCTTTAAGATTGTCAAGCATTGAATTAATTATGATTGGCAAAGATGTACACATAATGAACCATCAACAACAGTAATTATGATCTCAAATAAAGATCACATGAATATGTATGCCACTTGGTTCAGCCGTTCAGGCACAAAGCAAGTGATCATGGGAGTAATAAACTAGTAATAAATGATTAAGAATCTAAACCGACTTAAGCCACTTGGTTTTGCATATCAATCAAAATAGAAGCTGAACTGACCAAGCCCAAACTGGCAAAACCAAACTGATGAACGCCTCTAATATTTAAAACTTAATTAGGTTATTTCTTAGTTCTTGTTTTTGGTTCTGTTATGTATAGGTGCTTGGAATCAGGTGGTCATCCGTATTTTATGTGGAAAGCATCGCAAGAGTGAGAAGGTTATCTTTGAGTGGTTTGCTACTTTACAAACTATGTATGGCAGATCAATTATTTGTTCAATGGCCATACTTAAAAAGCAAATATCCCCGAGCTCAATATGTGGGCCGTCTTATGTGATTCTGGTTGCTAGTCGATCTTCTTTACGTAGTACTTGCAAGTCATTATTACATTAATATTTGGTTATCCATAAAAGTCGAGGGGTTTATCCAAAAGAATCCTAACGACATCCCACATTCACGGGTAAGAGAGATTCCTAACATGTTTTTTTTTTTTGGTAAAAATTTTCCTAACATGTTACTGTGCCATGTAAATATGCTATTGTGGGATGGAGACATGGAGTGATGGATTTGGTCGGCTATCCCGGATTGGTTTGGAACCTGGTCCGGTATTGTTTGGGAGAGGATTGGGTCCATTTTCCTGGTCTTGGTGAAGAACAGGTACCTGATCGGGTAAAAGCGGTACCCGGTCCTGCATTCCAATATTTGGGACCAAATCGAGCGGTTTCGGACCCGGACCAGCCAAATTCCCCCTCCCTTTTTTGCATGAAACCGGGTAAAAAATGTAACGGGTCCGAGACTGTGATCGGACTGCTCGAGTACTCAGAATTAGACCTGCACAAAATGGGTCTGGGCCGGGCTTTTAATAAATTTCCCATCATGTGTGGGCCGGCCCGGCCCACAAAAACGGGCCTAACCCCATGTCCATACCCGCCCGTAAGAGTGGGCCGGGTAGTCCACCGGGCCGCCCGGCCTGGGAAAACTTTAAATTTTTAAAAATTATAAGTATAATTTTTTTAATACTTTATAAATAATATTACAACATTTATAAAATTGCTTATATGCTTATAATGTTTATAGGATTTTCACCTCATACACAAAAAAAACTTACACAAAATAATAATGAGAAACTATATTTAAATTTTAAAATGCAAGCACAAAGTATTATTTTTAAGTACAAAAATAGATATTATATTGGTTGAGCTAGTTGTTAAGAACTAAAAACTTAAATTTAAACATAATAAACTATAAATATGTATTAAGATAAATTAGTAAATATAAATATACATATGTACATGTAAATAAATAAATAAATAAATAAATTAGTATATATATATAAATATAAAATGTAGCGGGCCGGGCATATCGGCCTGAACGGGCCTACACCCTAACCCAAGCCTGCCCATATGTTATTGCGGCCTGGCTCCGGCCTGGTGGGTAAATATATATGCCCAAGCCTGCCCATTTGTGCGGGCTGGGCGGGCCGACCTTGTTTTGTGCAGGTCTACTCAGAATCAGCCTAGACCTGGGATTGCACCGACTCGGGTCCACCCATAACCAACATTTAGATGTATTATCCAAGCATTTAGATGTATTATCCAATTGTTTGGGTATGAACTAAATGTGTCAATCAAATTGTTTGGTCATGTTCTTCCAAAAAAAATTGTTTGGTCATGGATTGCACACCTTAATTTTTTCTATATCAAACTATTTTACACGGCTTTTAAGAACACCAGGGAATTACCTTTCATAACTGGAATTACGTAGAAGTGTAGAATTGGTAGTGATGTAGTATTAGGGATTAATCTGGCCTGGCCCATTTCAGAACCGGGTCTAGTATTATTTGGGATCAGATCGGGTTCGGAGAATCCAGTTCGGGCTTTGGACTACTCGTAGTCCAACCAAGCATGTTACCCGGTCTCGGTTTACCCATTTGGGAACCAACCGGGCGGTTCTGGTCCCAATTTTGGTCTTGGATCGGCTATTTTTTGGCATGGAAATGGGGGGAACCAAAAAAGAATTGAACGGTACTGGGTTCGGGCCGCCCAGAATTGGCAGTGACTTGGATTTAACTGGGTTGGACTTGGGCTTCTCCTACCTATGATCGGGACTGGTCGGTAAGGGATCGGGATCAGGACTGCTCGGTCGCCGATTGAAACCGGGACTAGGACCGAGTCACCCCTATGTAGTATCAATGTATCATGATATATTTTAGTTATTAATCATAATAATTCATATATATCTAAGTTCTATCGATCATTATGGGCTTGTTAGTGGAAAGTTGTATGTTTTACTCGTGTAAGTGAGGCGGTATTTGGATTTATTTAAGAGAATATCCTTAATATCTCTAATATTGGGAACTCGGTCCTGATCTTGCAGTGGGATTGGATAGGAAATGCCCGTTCTGAATTGGGACTGAGACTAGGAAATAAGGTTTCGGTTCGGGACCGGAACTGGAATGGAACTATCCGGTTTTCAATCGGGACCGTGACCGGAAAATAAGATTTTGGTCGTGCCTTTATTTTTTTAGATCGGGACCAATTATGTTTTTTTTTGCTTTTTATCTGTTGCTATTAAACTATAGCAAAACATTTTATAAGGTTGATGATTCATTTTAAAAGTGTAAAAGAGGTGTATATAGAATCTTGTTTTTTGAAATTTTATCTTTTATAACATAGATTATAATTTTCGATATTGATTTCAATCAATTTTCTCTTGTAACTTTTTAGATTCATTTTTTATTTCAATTTAAGATTGACATAATTAGTATCTTAAACTAATTTATGGTATTAAGATTAAAAGATTACTCCTTTGAAATACAATGTTAATAATGTCATGTTTTGTGATGTAAAGATATTATATTGGCACATAATGCCATGTTTATGAAATCAAGATGGCAATAACAATACTAATAATGACATGTTCTTAGTGTAAAATAATTGTTTTATGTACCATTTTTATGAAATCAAGATGGCAATTACAATATTAATAATGGCATATTTTTCCATATACAAATATTATTTGGGCACCTAATGCCATTTTTATGAAATTAAGATTGCAATACAATACTAATAATGTCATGTTTTTCATCCAAGAAAATGTTATTTACGCACGGTGTCATTTGTATGACACTAATTCATGGTTATGACGATAAAACTCATACTCTTTGCATTATATAAATGACATTAAAATTGTCAAATTACATTTACGGATTTATGATGGAGCTAAAGATGGTGGTGCCAGAAGAGGCAAAAGTGGTAGTGACACAGATCCGGCGGTGTCGGTGCCAAACAAGGTGGCAACGACAACTGATGGCGGTGGTGTTTGGCAGCGGCGACACATGGTGGCAGCGTCTGGTGGCGGCAGCGTCTGGTGGCGGCAGCGTCTGGTGGCGGCGTCTGACAGAGGTGACAATGTTGGTGGAAGAGACCAGTGGTGGAAGAGTCGTTGCCGCGATGACATGGGTGACGGCAACAGGTGGTAGAGCCACAGGAAACGGCGGCGGATGATGCGGACGACGGCAATGAAGGCAGTCATCGGCACTAGGGTTGTGTGGTTGTGTCTGTTGTACTGTTTGTTTTTAGTATTTTGATTTAAATTATTAATAAACAAATGAACTTGAGATTTCATTAAGCGTATTTAAGTCAGACCACATCTTTTTTTATTCCTACTAAATCTCATGGGAAGCTGGACTCCGACTCTATTTGTGCATAATTAATTTGTTTTACCCTTATATGGGTAAATAAAAAAAGCGAACCAAATATAATTATAAACGTTTATAAAAGATAGAGAACATGCATAATTTAACGGGAAAAGTAGTAAATCAGCCCTCGAACTAACATAAAAAAGTGCAAATCAGCCCTTATATAGGGGGCTCTGTCCGGCCGTCACCATTTTGGGCGGTTTCTGGTGGATTTTTTTGAAGATTTTTTTTAGCATCTTCTTCATTAAGTCCATTTTACTCAAACCAAATTTCAGCTAAAAATTCAATCGGGAAGACAGTCAAATGAATTTTTGAAGATAACTGCGCACTTAAACAACGCAGTATATTTCTGAAAATCATTTGACTGCCTTCCTGGTTGAATTTTTAGCTGATATTTGGTATGAGCAAACTAGACTCAATGAAAAAAATTCTCAGAAAATTCATCATAAAATTCCACCAGGAACCACCACTCCTATACAAGGGGCGATTTGCACTTTTTAAGTTAGTTCGAGGGCTGATTTGCTACTTTTCGCTAATTCAACCGATGCAGTTTAAAGTGGATAGAATTATAAAAAGGTCACGTCTCATCTCAAATTTTAGAAAAGTTTGACCTTATGCATTAAAAAATCATGTAAAAATTTATCAGAAATTTTGTATATATATTGACTACTGAACTACTCGAGCAAATTCATGATTAGCCACTGCTTATAAGACTAAATATATGAGAGATTAGGTAAAATGAAACAAGTCCATAGACTCCATACATTTTTACACGTTGGGTACCCATTCCAACTTTCCAAGTAAGAGCTTTGTTCTAGTCCGTTTATTATCATTGAAATTTATGAAATCCTAACTTAAGTAAAAGAGTGCCAAGGAGGACACTAAAAGTCAGGGGCAACTGATAGGGATTCAAGAGAAGACTTCAGATGTGAGATGTTATCTGGTTCGGGAATTTTTTTTAAACCCGGTTTTAGTCCAAAGAATCAGAAGACTCTTTGGGGTAGGGGAATGGAACACCCTGGTTCAGGGACTTATCTCCAAAGGGAAAGGTGAAATGGGAGAGGAAGACAGAACACAACCATGATAGGTCTCTAGATGAAGGGGAGTCTAGAAAGCGAAGAGTAGTGGACTTGAAGAATCCTGGTGAAGGTTAAAGTTAGCCTGGAGGTTAAAGTTAGCATGAAGAATCTGGTCCATAAAACGACGCATTGGCGGTGCTAATGAACCAGCATCACCTGGAACTCCATTACATTGTGTGCGCGGTTTAATTCCTTTGGAGGTGGATGGATAAACCTCTTCTCCCTTCCCAATTGCTGGTGAAATCGGATGGGCTCCTTTGGAGGTGGCTGGACAAACCTCTTCATCCTTTCCGATATCTGGTGAAATCAAACTGGTTTATTTGGAGGTGGATGATCAAACCTCTTCTCCCTTACTGATGACTGGGAAAACCAGAAACTATGATTCTATTTGTTATTTCCTTTTTAATAACTCTAGTTTTTTGTCCGTTTATTTTAGTAGCATGAACGGCGATGCTGATAGATTAGTCTACCAGATTGCGGGGTTAGCAAACGTGACAGGTTCTCAGGGGCTAGTTAATTTTGTGACTCATTCCAAGGTAGCTCTAAACAACTGGATTGCTATGTTTCTTGTCATTTCCACTATTAATATTAATTAAGTGTTTTTCTTTTAAAAAAAGTAACTAATTTATAAAAAAAAATTATTAATAAAATAAAAAAATATATAGAAACATAGCTAAAATATCTTCTAGATAATTCAACACGCGAAATCAAAATTTATGTGATTGGTGAAAAAAATGACTAATAAACCAAAAAACAAGGTCGGCTCTAAATCAATACTCCCTACTATTAAACGCAGATTCTTTTGTTGAGCCGCGGAGTAAGCTTGTCAAATTTACGGCCCATCCGATTAATCGATTCACTAAAGAAAAATATGCTGAGAATGAGTATTGTTTATCTCCTTGTAAATGACATTTCTTTTTAGAACGTGTAATTCATTAAAAATATGTACGTGTTTTAATTAGACATGTACAACATATAATCAAAATATAATTTATAAAATTGTCAATATTTTGAATATGTCCTTGGGAAAATAGATTTGCGAGTGATGTATATAATAAAATTATATGGGAATCTATACCAAATGGGGAGATCTAAACTTTTTTTTATATCAAAAGGGAATTATCCCTTGAATATTATAGAGTGTTTTTTATGTTTTCACTTTTAGCTCTGCAACAGGTACATACATAAATGAAGGAGGACTTGATTCTGTTATGTTAACACTATGAATTCCAGATAGAACTAGCTGTTGCAGCCTTTCCACCTTCTCCTTGATTTTATAGAGCCTTTCCATTTCAGCTTCAGCTTCCAGCTCTCCATCTTTTCTCTGGCAACATAGTCCTCTTTTGGCCTTCACGAGCTCTCTCGGAAGTTTAAGGGGATCTTCACCATAATATACCGTTGCCTGGTTGCACACAGAGAATGACAGAAAGATATTAATTGATCACACACAAGGGTAACCAATTTGGTTGGGTGGGGCAGTGAACCAGGTGAATGCAATGTCTCGTATTTGGTTCCAGCAGAGACTACCTATTGATATTTTTGGTTGAGCCAATGTTCATCTTAGGGTAGTTTATACTTTATATCACTCTAAGGGCTTGTTTGGTATGAGGATAACAGGTCCGGGGGAATAAGCTGGTTGAAATAAAGTGAAGATCTATTTTAAAACTGATGACACGAAATAAATGAATAAAAAATCAATCCTCCTGTTCCCCCTTCCCTGTGAAATTGTTGAACCAAACAAGCTCTTGTGGTTCTTTGCCAATTAGAGCTATGAGGCCAAGGTTTACCCAGTGAGCACCTTAAGGTAGTGCCTGCAGATTCGCAGTTTATAATATAGAAAGATACACCTTGATGTTTTACAATAGCTAGTAGCTATATGCAGGTGGAGAATCTAAAGGCACACAATGTGATGCTTTGAACTTGCTACAATAAGAAAATGTGGTCAGGCTGTAAACTATCAACAGTTCCAGGTTTCCAGCTTCAAGGTCACCTCATATAAGCAGATTCCAAGTATAAGTTTACTTGAGCTTGAAACCACTAATTCTGAATTCAAAATGATTTCGTAAGTGCATTAACGTTTCCCATAGCAGCCACGCCTGTTTGGTCTAAAAGCTGGTTTTGCAAACTATTGTGCTATTAAATGAAGATAGCATGAATTTTCAGTAATAAGACAATATGAGAGACCTACTAAAGACATTATATGCTAAAAATTGTATATACGGGCCCAGGTGTAATGGTACCTTGCAGTTTCCTTCTTGATGCTGTAATGCTTTTCTTAGCTGCCCTCTCTTTGATTTGCAAATGAGCATGTTTGCACTATTTCTCCTATGGGTTCTTTTCAGATTCTTTGGCACTTGAACTGTAATTTCAGCATTCACACCTTGTGAGGCAAATTTCTTTGTAGTTTTGCCTTTCCCTGTATTTGCAGGACATTCCTCTGACGCTATAGGACTAACAACTTTACTTGGATTTGCTTTCTCGGACTTCTAGCATTCACATATTATTATAAAATTTAAAGGTTTGAAGTAAAACTTCAATGCATCTGCAGTTTCTTTAGAAATGGACAAGTAGATGCTCTAATTAAACTTCAAAAGATTGTTTATATTACAAGATGCATATGAAGAGGGCAGGAAATCAGAACTACAGTCCAACATTTGAGAAATGACTAATAATGTCATAGTTCACCTGCTGCTCACCTTCCTACCTTTCAATGCAAAATAACGAGCATTCTTAAACCACTTGTTCACCTAGAATAGATAATATATGTCATTAAGCACAGGTGATTAGGGTTTCTCACCCCTACCAGCGAAGTACCAAACAAATATTTCTATCTCAGTTAGAAAAGAAAATATTTGACTCTGACCAGTCCAATTCAAAGATTTTACTTGATAAATTCTACAGATAAAAAATAATCAATCGTTACAAATTTAATCATTGAAGTGGACTCAGAGTCATATAGTCTCATCAAATAGTTTTATAGTTGACTTATTTAAAGATTTAAATATTTAAAGTTTTATAGTTGACAAATTTAATCAATCTTTAAAAAACCGACACTGTTTTATTTAAAGATTTTCAGCCAAAACCGACAATGAATTTGGTTCTCATGTCCTTAAATCTCCCAACCATAGTGACTCTTACCTTTTCAGAGTCAAGACCTAACTGCTTTGAAAGGTTTTGCTTTTGTGCTCTAGATGGAAGTTCATTTTCAGCAAACACAAGGCGAAGCTTCTACAGAGGAAAGAAACAAGAGCATAGAAACATTTACTCCCAAATTGTTTAAGTTACAAAACATATGGTAAATCCAACATATAATACCTCAACTGCATTAAGAGGAATTCTGAATATAGATCGTTCAGTTGTTTTGCTTAATTGTTTTGCTACTTTGGGAGATCTACTTTCATTCTCATTTTCACAGAGAGTCATAAGAGTGTTTGCTGCGTCGGATTCAAACTCCCTTTTCTTATGCTTTCTTTTCGGGCCCCAATCTTCATCTTCACTGTTTTGTTCATTGACAGGAGGATTCTTACCAAATAATTCCTGTGGACCACATTGATAAGTTCACATTGCAGCACCATTAAAAGGTGAAACAATATAAAAATGAAAAATCACCCGGAACATTATTTTTATCTTTTGGAGATTTCTCGCCTCGCTGGAGGTGGCACAGGGTGATAGCTAATATTCATAAGGCTACAACAACAACCACAACATCCAAGCCTTATTCTCAAAAGAATTTGGGGTCGGCTACCATGAATCAATATATAAAATTGGAGCTAAAAAGGATAAAAAGTTAAGATATGGCAAAAATAAAAATAATGATAAAAATAGGATACAAAGGATGAAAAAGATAAGAAAATAACGAAGATAAGAAAGATGAAAAAGAAAAGAAGAGATAAAATAGAAGACGAAAAGATTAAAAAAAAGTTAATATTCATTAGGCTATTTACAAAAATCAATTTGAAAGTTACTTGGAAAACTGTGTTAGACACTTACATCATCTATTTATCTAATCAACAGGTATATATTTTTCCGAAGCAAGAGTGCAAGACGTTTCCATCATTTGCAATCGAGCCAAAGATTCATTCTTTTTTGGCTTGAGAATATGATGGAATAAAGCAAAATGGCTCACTAAACTGCATGCGCTTCTTTGTTATGAAGCAGCAGTCAGTCCATGCAATTTTGGGCGCAATCTTCACTATGGGTCATCCGGAAACAGTCTCTCTGTGCTTTAGTACAAGGGTAAGACTGCATACATCCGACCCCCCCCTTACCCCACCGTAGGTGGGAGCCTTTGCGGCGCTGGGGTAAATGAAAATGATGATGATGATGATGATGATGATGATGATGAAGAGAGCAAGACACTTACATCATTTAGCTTTATATAATCAACAGTTGTTCTCTGTCTAGGGATGTTTATGACCTCACAATCAGTCATCTCATTGGAATCAAGCCTACCCATGACTTCAGCAGATTGGTTTCTAAATCTGATTCTTTTCTGTTGCCTTCCACATAATGGCTCGTCCTCAAGTGAGCCCAAACTGCTTGAACTCCCTCCATCATCCGAAACACCAGATTCGTGGTTATTAGTACTCTTGCTGCTGCTATTCTCAATCTTTTCAGGGTCATAGTCATCATCTTCTGAGTCATCAGATGGCCATTCATGTTCAGGGTAAAGGGATGAATTCCCATCATCCTTGGGCAAAGCAGCTTCTTCCTTGAAGATATCCTACTCTTCCAAGAGGGCAGAGGCGCATATTAAGCAAGTGGAAGTTTACAAAAAAAATGTAATGAAGTACTTAGCTGTCATCGGGAAAGAGAAAAAAGGTGAATTATGAACACTACTATACCTCCCAATTACTGTCCATAGCAAAATGGGTGCCAAGATGAGCATTGGTAGCTTCAATAATTTCCATCCTGATCTTGCACAAATTGCAAAACCATCCCTCATCTTCTGGAGGAACTACAAATTTAATGTGTCTATTAGGTTTAATGTTGATAAATAATATTTAAGCCATAAATATCTGTTAAGTCATGTTTCAACTTTCAAACATTTGTTATGTCCTAAAAAGAGAATCCACTTTGACCAAACGAGGATAACTTTTCAAATAACATACCAAGACATTCCAAAACTCATTACATATGCTAAATTTATTTAAACTAAAAAGTAATTTAAAATTAGTACTGCCTGACTGCCTCTGTCCCATAATGTAAGATACATATAGGTTTGGTGCGGGTTTTAAGGGAAAAAAAGAATAAAGTGGGTGTTTTAAAATTCTAACCTCCAAAAAGTAAGAAAGAAAAAGATGGGTCCACAAAAAGTAAAAGGTGAAATGATAGATAATGGGATAAAGTGAGAAAGTAAAAAATTAGTGGAGTTCAATTTAAGAAAGTGTTCACATTTTTGGGACTACCGAAAAAGGAAAGTGTATCTTACAAGATGGGACAGAGGGAGTATTATTCATGATTTCTGACAGCAGAACCTTACCAAAGATGAAAAGTTGTTCACTAGTCAAATGGGACTCTTACTTGGGACAGAGGTAGTAATATATACGAAGTAACTTGGGGACTGGTGGAGGATTACTAAAACATTTGAAAGTGACAATATGACTCACTGTTTTCTGTTGATAGTGGAGGATCAAGACATTTTTGATGGAAAGCGCAGTTACATGGTCCATCACAAAGTATGATATCATTATCAGGGAAAGCATCACGCAATTTACATTTTGCACATATTATCTGAAAACATGAATAAAGGTCAGTACTCACAAGTCACATTCATTATGTCTTAATAAAACAACAGCATCTCTTGCATTCAAGATCACTCCCTACAGTACTTGAAAAATACTACAAACCTCAAGTACAAGTTTGCAAATTTAAAAACCTGCACTCTTCATTTAAAAGAAAGACGATGATCCCTTTGAACTTTTACATTTATGAAGTCAGCAAGCATTTATGAACAAACATTATGCAATTTACAATTTTTCCATCATTTTTAATGGAGCCAAAGACTCACTATTTTTTGGCTTGAGAATATGATGGAATAAAGCAAAATGGCTCACTAAACTGTCTGCGCTTCTTTATTATGAAGCAGTAGTCAGTGCATGCAATTTCGACGTGAATTTCACTATGGGTCATCCGGAAACAGTCTCTCGGTGCTTTAGTACAGGGGTAAGACTGCGTACATCTGACCCCACTTACCCCATCTTAGATGATGATCCCTTTGAACTTTTACATTTATGAGGCACTGGGGTGATGATGATGATGATTATGCAATTTACAATCATAATCATGTTACTAAGCATACTAAATGCACTAGTAATGGACAAACATAACACAATGAATACTTTCAAGCGAGGACAATTACATGTTCATGGTGGACAGAACCATCAGGAGCAATGACTTCATTAGCAATGTGCCCTGGTAACCTCAGCAAATCCAGTTGGCGAACTGCTTCCCTTATCTCAAGCTTACACTTCAGTATTTGCAACTTTGCCCTCTCAAGTTCTTTTTCAGGCTTAATTTTTTCCCGACTGACAAAAAAAGTTGCTATTGGTGAACGGTTAACTAGAAAAATCCAATACTGTGCAAAATAGTATTGAACTAAACAAAAGCAGACTTTTAATAAGAACAGACGTTGTAGATTTAGATCATATTGCAAGCGAATTCCTATATTATTTTATCAACTAAGAATCTTAGATACATTTTGCTTAAAAAAGAAAGAACAATAAACATTTGTGTTATATTTTGCATGTCAGTATATTGCACTAGTTACATAAAGTTACACTTAGGCTCTTATAACTCACTTGACACAATAAACTGAGCTCAAATACAACTGAAATTAATTGGCACTGCATTTAAAAGACAAAACGCGGTATTTTTTCCAAGGTAAAAAAATTGAAGGAGATTCTCTAAGTATATGACACTTGTTTATTAAACTATAATCGACGAACAGCCATTGGAACCGCAAATAATAACCTTGTATCACACACTGCATCCAAAACCAAAGATGCATACAAGCAAAACATTCCTTATAGCAACAAAATACGCCCATAAGGCCTATAACTTGAGTTTTTAGGCCGAAACTTCAGAGTCCACTTTCAGGCATATGAATGAGCTCCACATAGAAGAAAAATATCCAGCACACTGCCTTGCATAAGACACTTGGGGATGAAGGTGAAGAGCAAAGCTGAGTATGAGGAGAAGAAAAAAAGCACATACATTGAAGCATGAACATAGGGAAATGGGGCACGCCTCTGAAACATGAGGTACAAAACATTAAAAAGGTGTCTTTATCAATAAATTCAGAAAATTAGAAAAAAAGAGTTGTGTTCAGAATGGGTTGGCGGAGGTCAGAGAAGGAGGATGGGTGAGCATGCAGATAACCAAGAAGGATTTGGGGGTGGGCAGAGGCCAAAGATGTTTCTCAGATGCAGTCAATATAAAAAACTTGTGTGATAATTTATCTACCTCACTATCACTCAGTGAAACATTAGTATCTTGCGAGAGTAAGAAAAAGGATGTGGTAGGCTGGTAGGCGGTAGCAGTGTTGCACAGTCAAGTGTCAAGGCCAAGTACTAGCCTTTGGAACATGCAAGTGTATTTGGTTTACATCTCCTTTTAGAACATTACTTTTGCATACTTAAATCTATGGGCTTGATGTGTGATAATAGTAAGTTACTCTAGACAATGCAAGAAATAAAGTTTTCAATGAAAGAACTACACATATAGAGGTGGGCTGTCATTTCATTGTCAGAAGATCAAATTTGGACTTTGGAGACATCATAACTGCTTTTGTTGGTTAACAGACTTAATGGTCCATCAAGATACATCGTCACCAGGCCTTCAGGGGAGAAACAATTGAGTATATTTGTAACATCTCTACAAGCTTGGAGGCTGAACCTCAGCGGAGAGTGTTGAGATTTACCATGTGTTTTGCATAGTTGTACCTTGTCATTACCTATGTGAACTCGTTCTCTTCCTACTTCCTAGATTATTGATGTTCTCCAAAAGTACGACTAGGTATGTGTAAAAATATGAGTGTGTGTGTGTCAGAATTCCACGCTGGAAAATAAAGAGAAAATAGTTGGTTAATAAGATATAGGGTTGAACTAGCTAATAAATAACCAAGCACTCCAGCCTAGCTGGATGCGAGGTTACCGTGCCTAGTGGGAGGTCTCGAGTTCGAATCCCGCTAGGCACAGAAGGGTTTGAAACTCAATGGAGTGAGTTTCAGCTCTGATTACTCCAGGCTCCCCCCAAACCCCCTCCCCCAGACCCCCCCTCGAGTTAAAAAAAAAAAAGAACTAGCTAATAAATTGGATCCCACCTTTAAGCTCCCAATTCTGAATTCTATCATTAAACACATAACACACAGGTACACCGCACATTTACATCTTAAATAAATGTGAAGTCTAGTTTAATGATAGCTATGTGAATATTTATAATAAGTCATCACTCTTACACATTATTAAAGAAAATAACTGATTAGTACCTGTGGCCCTTCCAACCTTCTGTGGAATAAGCATCAATAAGGTTCTGCTCCAGTTTCATTTTTATTAAGAGGTACCTAGTCCGTCTTTGCAAACGAGAAACTTCATCATGCTCTGCATTTTGCTTCCTTCTCTTTGCCCTTTTCCTTTTCTTTAGTCTACCAGATCCAGTGGCAATGTCCTCAGTTTTCTCACGTTTCTTGCATTCAACTAACTGAAACTTCCGTATTTTGCCAGTCAATGCAGACTTTTGTTGGGGCAGTCGAGTTTTATTCGACGTTGTTCCCCGAAGTTTTGTTCCCATGGAAGCGCATTTTCCCTTCTCTTCATGCAGGTTTTCAATAACCATCTTCTTCAATACATATCAACCAATCTTTTCACATATTGGATTGTATGCAATTGCAGCTTCGTCATGTATGACGTTTTTATGCTTTTGTTGTTAGAATGGGTTTCCCTACATATGTATGAATATCTCTCTCTTCACATTTGTTGGCATACTAGTTTGTAATGCCTGAAACTGAAAAATAATCTGGAGAAAAATAACCGATCCTATTTCTGGAAAGGGGAATCCGGTAAACTACAAATTCACACATCTTTAAAAGACAACTGAAGAAAAGAAATAAAATAATCTCCTCTAGAAGATTGCTAAAGGATAACTAAATTAGACAAAGCAAAAAATGCAACATATAATAAGAAAAACATGAACACAATTTTTAACTAATCCAGGGCTTAAAAGTTGAGAGCTTTCTGCTGATATTAGCATTTCAGCCCTTTCTTTCAAATATGTTCCGAAAAAATTAAGCTTGAGAGCTTTGACCTCTGATCAACCTCTAAGAAATCAAGCTTACTTAAAAGCTAAGTAATTCAAGAAATAGGGCTGGATAGTTCAATAATCAGTGGTGATCAGAATGACTTGAAAGAAAAACAGAAACCCAGAATTAGATTTTTTTTAACCTTAAGGAACATATCTGGCAAAGACCAACTAACATGTTTAAGAGATAGAATACACCCGCACTGACTGAAAATACACTGAAGTTACCCATTCAATCTGATAGAATGCCTGTGTTAGTGGGCGTGCATTATTATACATACAAAATTAGTTCGCCACTCGCCTGAAGAATGCCGAATATGTTTATTTGAGTTGAGCGAGGGAGACCTGGGATTGGTTGAACTTCGTAAACTGGAACTCTTTGTTGTCCATTAGATTTGATCCCTCCGTCTCGTTTTTTCAATTATCTGACCAACCTCCGTTACCCCTCCTTATGATCTTGATTCCATTTTCCTTTCTATTTCCTGCTCTTTTTCTTTCTTTCAAGATTTGGTTTTCTGGTTTTAGAGTCCATTTCAAAATAAATCAGCATAAATTTTTATGTTAGAAACTCCATTAGAATAAATTTTAATTGATACTAATAATCCCAAGGGCCGTTTATAATAATCCTAACTATCAATTATTTCGGAAAAATCACAACTTTAAGGACCTTCTGCCAATAATGGTTCCTATAAATAAATTTACGTAGTTTCTAAAGTGAATGAGGAGAGATATAGTAAGTAATCCCTATAAATAATCTCAATTTTTAATTTTTAAACTTAATTTCTATTTAAAATTCACTTATTATGGGAGGTAATATCTGGTCATGGACCACTATTGGCGGACGGTCCATATAGTTGGGATTATACAAAAATAATCAATAGTTGGGATTATTGTCAGTGGACCGGCAATAGTTAGAATTATTATTTTCAATTTTTCCTTTTATTTTTAGTGTACGGTGTTTTTTTAAGAATTTTGAGGAATGTATTGAATATGGATTGTGGTGGATTTTTTTTAATCCATGGACTTCTAAAAAATTTATGGACATTTAAATCCATAGATTTTTTTATAAATGAATTCTATTGACATTTAAATTCAAGGATAAGTTTATATACTTTTAAGAAGTACATAACTGCATAGACTTTTAAATCCGAACTGTCACTGTCGGTTGTCAGAATTTCACCTAGATCATCGCTTCCAATTTGCTTGTCCACCTCCGTCACTGGAGTTCGCCGTCAACAAAATGAATTTGGTTATGCAAGGGAAATATGAGAAATTAATTATATTAATTATATTAGAGGTAGAAATGTAATATTTAGTCATATTTACACAACTCAATGAGGTTCAGAATACTCAAGATACTTAGGGGAAGGTTCAGAATAGTTAGGGAGGGTTCTGATTACTACACTTTGGGTTGGGTGCTTCTTTACTTGTTCCTTTTTTCTTTTTGTTTGCTTTCTTATTGTTCTTTTGCTTGTACTTTTCTTTTGCTCTTTTTAATAAAGTTCCCCTTTCATTTAAAAAAAACACAACTCAATGAGTAAGAACATTGATAATTACACAAACGTTACACTCATTGCTACATGTGGTACAAATAAGTGCAATCAAGCTTTTCTTCTTAATAATTTTCTTTTCATTTTTAGCTTAACTTATTTACGTTAAATATTTAGTAATTTGAAATTATATTTTTATGTGTTAGCGGTTTAACGATGAAATACATTAATAGTAAAAAAATCTTAATGATTAACCGACAACGTACAAAAATTGCACCGATTTAATACTACCGACTCAAATATTGGTTCTTCTAAAAACTTCAAGAATCGAATCGATATGGGAACGGTTCAAGAACTAAACCGATTCCACTCCTACATTTTTCTTCTTAAGACGACATATAAAATATCACTATTTATTTATTTATTTATTAAATTGAAAAGATAAGTTTATCTTGTGTATCAGTATTAATATAGAAATTCCTTGTTCAAATTTATTTATCGTAAAATGATAGGAAACAAAATCAAAAATTAATGTTCAAATCTTGCATACTTAGACCATCCCGGTACCCACCTTCCGTCCTAACCGGTACTACCGTACTCGTCCAAGACTTGTTGGCCGGTTTGTGTTCCCGGCTAAATAATTATCTAAATATGCAATCAGATTTATGTGTACTTGTGATGAGTAGAAGACGACTATAAAGGTACACAGAAATCTTTTGTGAAAGGAAGAGACAATTGCAGAGAATTATTGTACTAAGAATGAGTTAAAAGTTTACGAGAATCTATGATTTTAGACATCCATAAGAATGAACGAAAAATTGAATACGCCTAGACTTTCATAAACTTTAAAAAGTCTATATTGAATAGACTCAAACTTTTGTGGTTTTTTAAAAATCCACATTGAATACCCCTAAACGTTTAAAATCCGCGAGCTTTTAAAATTTTGTCACTAACTCCCAATACAATACACCCCGTTAGTATACGATGTTAGAAACTCCATTAGAATAAATTTTAATTTTATTATACGGACTATGAAATTCAATTTAAAAGTACAAAGTTATTGCTTTTTTTACCAGAATAAACTTAATTCATTGAGCATTAATATTGTTCAAAATACAAAGAGGGATATAATGGAAAAGCATCGGAGAAGCATAGATAGTACTATAGTAGATGTCCAAGCTAGAGTATGGCACAACTATTCCCTTGTCGCTTAACAAAAACAACACTAAACTAGTCTTTCATCTGTGCGTTGCACGGGATTACAAATTAGGAAATTATATATGAATTGGTTGAATTGTCCTGATCAATTGTATAAAATTAAAATTCGCATTCTTAACTCTGTGAAATTATATATGGTCGGGTCAAATTACGGATAAGATTTCGATTCTTCAATATTAAGTATCAGACCAGTCACTTCTCATTTTTTGTTAAAGGGCTATAAAGAGTAGTTTGGCTAAGGGGCTAGAACTTCTAGCGTATATATGTCCGCAACCATGCTTGTTGTACCCACCACTTTGTACCCACCTTATACTCATCTCTGTGAAGGCTATTTTTTGTCTGTGAAGCCAGTTCATAGACAAAATATGTCTTTGAATTCCTTCACAGACATATTTTGTCTGTGAAGGAATTCACAGATAAAAAAAAAATAACTTCACAAACATGGATGGGTACAAAAGTGGGTATAAAAGTGGGTACAAACATCATTTTCCATATGTCCGTGGGGGGAGGGAGTAATCTATATTTTTCAACAGCACCCTATCTATATTTCTTTAAAAACGGCTCATGAAACTTTATCAAATCCAAGATTTTCAACCACACCACATTTTTAATTTCTACGTAGTATAAAAAACGACTCATTGCTCTTCCAAAAAACAAAAGACTCATGGCAGTAGGTATCTCAAAGATCCCTTCACATATTTAGTTCCCCAACATATACTGTACAAAGTACTTTGTTACATACACTTGTATAATTATATTTCCCCTATCTCTTATCCCTACAACACATAATAAGTTATTGTGTTCCATACATGCATCTTGTGAATTTATATGATATTATGATGCCGGGTTTTTCCAGTTTTCTTGATTGCATATTAATTAGTAGGGAACCAAATATACAGAAAATGCCATGCAGAATTAGAAGAAGAAGGAGAAAATATCGAAAATGCAATGTATAAAACATAAACCAAAAGATTAGAGGTGTAAACCCTTTCATTCATTAGTTCCATCTATGTGTCTATCTTTCACCAAATATACTACCCAGATTAGTAAAAAAAAGTATAGAATTAAAAGTGCTACCATAAAGAATACTAAGGGCCTGTTTACTAACAGAGATATTTTCCTGTTTTCTACTTCTGTTTTTCGTTCTCCAATTTTCTGTTTTTATTTTTCAGTTTTTCTATCTCCAATTTTCTGTTTCTATTTTTTAGTTTTCCATTTTCAAATTTGAAAACATGTTCATCAATTTTTTCACACAGTTCTCCAATTCCACACCCTTGACCCCCTACCTCTACCCTTACCACGATCTTACACTCTACCCATACTCCACCACAACCCTTCATACTCACCCATACCTACTCGTAGGGGTCGGGGTAGGGAAGTTATGGGTGGGGGTGGGGTAAGGGGTATGGTCAGGGTGGGGTGGTAAGGTCTAGAGGTAGGGGGTTGGTTAGGGGTAGTGGGTGGGTTAAGGTCGTGGTTAGGGTTAAGGGTGGGGTAGTGGGTAGGGTTGGAGTAAGGTAGGGGTAGGGTAGGGAGTTGGGATAAGATGGCGGTAGGGTGGGGTCGGGACCAGGGTGGGGCCGGGGTAGGGAAGGGGTAGGATGGCGGTAAGGGTGGAGGTAGTGGGTAGGGTTTGGGGTTGGGGTAAGGCAGGGGTAGGGAGTTGGAATAGGATGGCGGTAGGGTGGGGTCGGGGTAGGGAAGGGGTGGGGTGGGGGTAGGATGGTAAGGGTGGGGGTAGTGGGTAGGGTTTGGGGTTGGGGTAAGGTAGGGGTAGGGTAGGGAGTTGGGATAGGATGGTAGGCGGTAGGGTAGGGTGGATCGAGGTGGGGTCGAGGTGGTAGGGGGGTGGCGGTAGGGTAGGGTGGATCGGGGTGGGGCCGAGGTCGGGGCATGTGGTGGGGGGTGGGGTAAGGTCATTATAGGGAAAAATGGGTACGTGGGTTGGGGGTTGGGTGGGTAGGGTAGGGTACGGGTAAGGGGTAAGGTACGAGGATGGAGGTGTTGGGTTTCGGGCAGAAAAACGCAGCGGAATAAACAAAAATTTTTACTACCCAAAAGTAAACAAACGGATCTGAGGTTCTTATTATAAACGAAATTACAAGAATTTAAGAGGGACTTACATAACAATCTTAATCAGGGATGTCAGACAGTCCGAGAAAACGATCCCGAGCTCTACCGGTATCCACACGCACGTGACTGGATCGGCCGCAGGGAACGTGCTAGCGTTCTCTTCTTTCTTCCTCTCTATTTTAGGTTTAAGAAGTGAATTTTAACTCTTAAAATTCGTGGGTCTCCTTAGCCCTGTTTATAAGAGGTGGAAAGAAGGGGTTTTATGGCTAATAAAACCCTTAAAGAGGCCCTAGCCCAATACCATTCGAAACCCTCTTTCGAATTGGGCTAATCAAGCTATTTTAATGTTATTAACAAACATTAATGATCCAAATCACTTAGGTGTGTGACCCTGTAGGTTTATGATAGCCGTTATATTTACTTGTGTTTAACATAAGTATTTATAAGTATTTGTTGAAGAAAAGAAGAGAAATCGGGCAAATACCTCCAGAATGAGAGCTTGATCATAAAACATTGCGATGAACGACTTTTTGGACCAAGAGAATGACGTTCTGTCCATAATTTGAGAATAACGTATTCTATAGAACTCGAAATCACTCGATTCGAGTTTCATGTGAATGCTAACTCAATAAGGTACAAATGTTATGAAGACGTCATGACCAAAATATGAAGGGAACAAGACTCAATCAACCAACAAAGTCAGATGTTGCTGGTGGGATTTCAGGATGCATACCTC